TCCTGCGGCCCCAGCAACGCACCACCGGCACCCACCGAGCGCTTCCTGCTCATGCCCACGTCCCCACGCAGGATGCTCACGCGGAGCCAAGATACGCTCCCTCCGGGTTCCGAGCAGGTATGGCCCAGCTCAGCCAGCCCATGAGCTTGGGGTGTCTGGGTGATACAGGGGGATGTGGGAGTCCAGACTGAGGTAGTTTGCCTGTCGCGCTGCCTTTTACCATGGAAGAGGCTCATTTTGGTGCTGTGTCTCCAGCTGTAGGCAACGTCCAACAGAAGTGGATATCTGCTGCCTTTGCCCTTGCCCTTTGCAGCTCTGACCTCCCCTCCCTCAGCCCTCCTACAGGAGGGCACAAAAAGGGCCTTTCCAGCCAGTGTCTTGGGGCTTGTCTAACTCCAGGTGCTCCGAATCAGGAGCTGCCTTCACCCATGTCCAACTAGACCCACCTGAGATGCTCCTGGTGTGAAGGGAAGGTGGCATGACTCCCGCCACGATGGCAGAGAAGGCTTTGATCTCTGCTTTGAGCTGAGCAGGGCCCCCCTGTCCCCTCCAGACAGGGGACATGCTGGTGACCAGAGGAGCTCTATTAATTCCTTTTTCTTTCCCCACTGGCAGCATGAGAAGAGCCCGTCCCCGGCAATCTCTCGCCCGCGGGGTTGGGACTCTCCCATCCCCGTCGACCGGGCTGAGGTGGAGGTGGCCAGCCCCACTCCGAGGAGCCGCCCTGTCACCCGCAGCATGGGGCAGGGGGACAACGTGGAGGTGCCATCCAGTCCTTTCCGCAGAGCCAAGCGGGCACGGCTCTGCTCTTCCAGCAGCTCGGTGAGTGACCTGGGTGCAGGGAGAGCCTGGCTGGGGAGGAGACAGATCAGCACGGGGTGCTCCTGATCCAGGGACCAGTGTTGTCCCTGTTGCCAGCTCAGGGCTGGTGTTTAGGCACGGGGAGGGTTTTATCTTGTCATTGGAGTCTGTTTTAGAGCATGCTGTTGCTGTCCTCCTTCACTGTCACCTCCTCCCCTACCCAGGACACTTCTTTGAGGAGCTTCTTTGACCCCAGCTCTCAGCATCGTGATTGGTGTCCCTGGGTCAATGCAGTGGAGGGAGGGGAAACCCAGGAGGATATCGCGACCCAGATGGAGAAGGAGCCTGCGAAGGCAGAGCCGGGCTGGCGGGTGGTACTGAACACTCTCCTCACCACCAGAAAGTGCGACAGAGTGCCTGAGACGGAGCCTGTGGTGAGCCTGCGGGATCCCCAGCCCCAAACCCAAGCGCTCAAAACGCTGCTTGCCCCAGCCTTGCCCAGGGCTGAAAGCCTAGGGGCAGAATTTGGGGTAGATGGGCTTCATTTGGGCTGAATGCAAACCCAGCCAGGTGGCAAGGACCGAGCGTGTGTCTGCAGAGTCTCAGCTTCCCCTCCGGCTGCGCTGACAGCCTCTCAGCCGGGTCTCATCCGTTACAACAATGCGTTGTGTGCGGATCTGCTTGAGGGCTACTATAAATAACAGCCTTTCCCGAACGGCTCAGCGCTGCCCAAGATCCAGTTTCATTTCACATCCCGATAGAGAGCTCCCAACCCTCTCTGCAGACATCTCACAGCCGCCAGCCCCAGGCTGATGGATCGGTGGGTTTGCCGAGCCAGGGGAGCGGAGCTGAGACCACAGCCCCCTTCCCCGAGCGGCTGTGGAGCAGCTGGTACCTGCTGCTGCCTCCCTGCGCCCCATTATCCGCCTGGATTCTTCCTGCTGGCTCCCCCCTGCCCTGCTTTGCTTGGGCCTGAGCTGCAGGGACGGGGGGAGCAGTCCTGTTTCAGCGTTTGTCTTGGGGACTTTGTGTGGGTTATGTCCCCAACAGGCTGGTCCCTTCTGGCTGTGCCACGTACTGGGAAAACACCAGTGAGTCCTGTTGGGACCAGACACAAGTCAGAGGCATGAGACCCAGCTGGACTGGGGGATGATTGGACTCCCATCCTGCTTCTTGCTTGCAGTCACTTTGCTCGTTTCCTCTCCGGTTCTGGTCAATAGGGCTAATGAAGAAAAGGAGCAATTTGATGTCCTGGCAGGACATTTCAGATGTTTTTTTTCCTGCTGCAGTTTTTCCTCACGTGCTTTGTAGGCAGGTTGGTGGCGGTTGCAGGTCTTGTTGCGGTGCCTTAACCTCTGGTTGTCGCTTTGCTCCCCTCCCTTGCAGAGCCTCTCGGTGAAGTCCTGCAAGGTGTTCCGCATTTTCCGGCAGTGGGAGAGCATGAATTCCTCCTGAACGGGCCGCTGCCCCCTGGGAACTGCCTGGCTGGCAGCACGGGGCATCACATCAGTCCGGCAGAGATCCGCTTCGCCGTTGCTCCCGCGGCAGCTCTGTGCCCTGGGGAGGGGGATGCCGAGGAGGCTCCATGCCAAACGCAGTCCCCAGCGGCTGCTGGGACCCCCTCCTCCCTGACTGCCTTCCTTGAAGCCCCGCTGCCTTCACAAATTGCTGCTGTAGCCCTTGGCCCCGAGGGCTTTGACAGCCCTGTCCGGAGCTGGGACATGCTGCGGGCGCGCGGGGTGAAAGAGGAGATGTGGTCACCTCGTGTGGGTGACCGTCTTGTCCAGCTGTGACCTGCCACCAGCAGCGCAGGGATGTGATGCCAGGTGGGAATAAACATTTCAGTTTTGTTTTTTTTCTTTTTTTTTTTTTTTTTTGTTTTGGTTTTTTTTTGTTTTATTCTTCTTACTGCTGATATGGTGCTTCTTCCAGGGACAGGATGAGCTCTGGACCCGGCATGTGGGTCCTGTATCCCTCATGATGCTCATCTTTGTGGGATCAGTGTGGGTCCTGTATCTCTCGGGATGCTCATCTTTGTGGGATCAGTGTCCCTGTCCTGTTTCCCACTCCTCGTTTGCTGCCTGATGTGGGTTCTTCACTACTGCCTCAGCCCCGGTACACGCAAAGATGCTCCTGGCTTTGTACCCCTATGGCTGCCAGCCTTTGCCCCGGCAATCAGCTGCCCAAAGCAGATTTAGTTGAAGGCTGAGAGCCTCTCCGGGGTGATAAATCACCCCAGCTGGAGTGCAGGGTAGGCTGAGATGCAGCCAAAACCCTGGAAGAGGTGGGTTAGGGCTTCCCGAGGCTGGGTGCTGGGTAGGGAGTGGTCTCTGGGGAAAGAGGAGAAGAAGCCAAGAAGGGGAGACCTTGATCTGCCATCTCCGTTCGTGAGGACTGTGGGGAGGGCTGAGACTCCGCAGACAACCCTGGTACATCTGGACCTCCTCACCCCAGCAGCCACACAGATGGGATTGAAAGCACAAGAATGTGTCATTCCTTTTTTTTTTTTTTTTTTAAGCAAAGGAACCCTCTTTGGGAGGGGAGCCCCTGCCATGGTTTCCCCCAAGGCGTGTCTCATCTTGCCCCGTCCCTTTTGGGGTGTTTTCTGGGCACCCTGTGCCTGAGAAGACAGAAGCTGCCCTTCTCAGGGCTGATCCCCACTCTCCCTGAACCCCAAAAACTTGTGGGTACACCTGCCCACCCAGGGAGTTCTTCTGAGAGACCTTTTACCTGCTGGTTGCTTGGGTGGGTGCTGGCAGGACACCCCCTGGGGAGCAGCAGAGCTTGAGTTTGGGTGGGTCACCTTCCTTTCTGAAGAGCATCCTAATTGTGTGGCACTAACGAGGAGCTGCTTCACCCCATGACCATGCTGGGGTGGAAATGGGGGTGTCACCCCCCCCACACACACACCCTGGGTAGCCCCAGAGAGGGGGGTGGTGGGCTGGAACCCCTTCTGCAGCTGCCTGAACCTACAGCTCCCCTTGTCCCCAACAGCCCCCCACCCCCCTCCATGGTTTACCCTGGGACCCCCACCCCACAAACCGCGGGGTGCACCCATGGTGGGAGGGGATGATGTCTGTGTGTCTGTCTGTCCTCCCTTTCCCCCCATGCACCTCCATTTTCAGACCCGGGAGGGCTCAGAGGATCCCCAAATCCCCTCTCCACCTACATACAAGGGTCTGGGTGCTGCATGAATGATGTTAAAGCACCCCAAAAGGGGCAGGATGCTATCACAGTCCCTGCTACCCTGAAATTATCCCCGTTGCAAAACTGTGGTATTATGCAGATGAAATACAAGGATTTAAAGAAATTAAGAGAAAATCCTGATTTTCCCCCTCCTGTTCTCCCAGTTGTTTGGAACCAGTCAGGGAGCATCGAGGCTGGGGAAATGGGGGATCCTCTTAGCCCAACTTCTCCAGCTGCTCTGCTTAAATATCACCCTGTTTGCCTTTGCCCCCCACCAGTTCCCCCCAGTGTAGCCCACCCGGGGTGTGGATCTGCTGACCCCTCTCGGTTTGTTACCTCCTGCCCCGGCCCAACTTGGGGCTGAAGGGGAGTTTTGAGGCGTTGAAGAAATCACCCCACACGCACACACTTGTGGGGTGAGGTTCCCCCCATTTCTCAGACTTTTTGGGGTTCCTCAGCTGCGTCTCCTCCCTGCCTGAGGCGGAAGTGTCGGGGCAAATTTTTGGGGTGATGCTGCGGTCAGGAATGTGGAATGTCTGCCCCCGGGGCGTGGAGGTGCCACGCCAGAGTCCCACCAGCACCATCATCGCGTGCCTCGCTGTCACCTCCGGGGCGCTGGCATCCGCTTGGGTAAACTGAGGCACCGGGAAATGCTTTGTTGCTGTCGCACCGGAAAGCCGGTAGGGTGACTCGTGCGATGAGGCCCGGCTATCTGCCACGTGCCTGGTTTGTAATCCAAAAGTGGGGGTTGGATTTAATGGGGGTTTTTCTCTGGGGGACACTGGCCACCCCACCCCGGCGTCCTGCGGGGCGGCGACCCCCGCGCTGGGGCTTTGGGCCCCGATGGGGTCTCGAACCTGCGGCCTTTGCAACACTTTCCCCCTCTCGCTGTACTACAACTCCCAGCGTGCCGCGGGGTGGGCGGGGCCAGCGCCGGCGTTGCCGGCGTAACCAATGGCGGTGGTGCGGGGCGGTGAGGTCACTGCGGGTGACGTCAGGGGTCCAGAGAGAGGCTCCGGCAGAGGCGACCGGAGCGGGGCTCGCGGCTGAGGGAGCGCGAGGCGGCGCGGGGGGGGGGGGGGGCGCCCGGGGCGGCGGCACCGGCGACAGCAGCGACAGCACCGGCGGCAGCGGCGACAGCGGCGGCGGGGGGGGTCCCAGCGGCTCGGAGCCCCGGCGACCCCCCGCTCCCCTCGGTGCCGGGCGTCCCCCGGTCCGCGGCGGCGGCGGCGCTGACAGCCCGCCCGGAGCACCGGGGGCGGCCGCGGCCACCATGTCCTCCCCCAGCCCGGGCAAGAGGCGGATGGACACCGACGTGGTCAAGCTGTATCCTTCCCGCACCCCCTCCTCCTCTCTCCGCTTCCTAATCCGTCCGTCCCGTCCCCCCCCCCCCCCCCTTCCCCGCCTCCCTCCGGGGGGTGAACCCTCCTCCTCGGCCGGGCCTGCACCGGAGCGGGGGGGTGCACCGGGGATCCCCCTCCGGTGTCGCTCCTCTCACCCCCACCCCCCCGGGCAGCGGCAGCGCCCCTTTCCGAGGCCAGGCCTAGGCCTCTCCCCAGAGCCGGGGGTTGGACCTTCCCCCCCCCCCCACCCCCGTGGGGTGAGAACCCCCCCTTACAGGGAGAAAGCCTAACACCCCCCCCTTTTCCTCATGTTAAGGGGTCTTATCCCCCTCTGTGGCTTGACAGCCACCAGCTGGGGTGCCCTGGGGGTGTTCCTGCAGGTGTCCCCCCCCACCTTGGTAAAAGCCCCCCCCCCCCCCCAGGTGCCCTGCACCCCCCCTGGCCTGCAGCCCAGCCGCCGGGGGAGGACGAGGAAGAGGAGAGCAGCTCCAGCAGCCACAGCCCAAAGAAAGGCTTTTGTGGTGTTTATTATTATTTGCTCCCTGATTTCAGCCTGCGGTTCACGAAGCTTCTGGTGCCGGCTTAGGGATTTATTTTTTTTGGGGGGGGGGAAGCAGGGGGCCCCCCACGGGGACTGGCTCGCAGCTGACCCATGGCTGGGTGACGGGGGTGTGGGCGAAGGGCTCTGGGCCCAGGACCCACAGCCCATCTCACAAGAAGTCCCATTTATGTAACACCCCAGGTTGGGTTAGGCTTTATTATTTTCATTTTATTCCCCCCTTTCTGCCATAGATCTGTTTATATTCTTCTTCCTTATTTTTATTCTTGGCCCTTTCCAGGGTGGCGAATCCTTTTTCTCTCTGTCTGGAGTGTGGGTGGCATTGAAAAATATCATTGGGAATTTGGTTCTAGGATTGTTTTATTAATAGTTTTTGTTTACAAGGTGGCGGTGTGTGCCGAGAGGGGGTAGAAATGACAAGAGTGGCTGAAATGTTTTTCTGCTCTATTGGCTGAACGTGCCTGACCTCCCTCAGCAGGACTTGGGTCTGGTGGCTCTAACTTGGTGGTGTCGAGGGGTCGAGAAATGGGTCTGATTTAGTTTCCAGAGTGAGATAAACAAACTTACTTGGATTTTGTGGGTTTTTTTGGAGGGGGGGGGGTGAAGGAGGAGCAGCACCGCTCCTGTTTGTGGCATGAGGGTGGCTTATCGAAGGAAACTTCTGTTTGACGTTCAGCCTGCGCGTTTCTCTCTACAAAGCTGTTCTTCGTGTATTTTTCGCCTTGTTTTTAAGCAAATAGGAAATGACTACCGATCATGCTTGAATCGGAGCTATTTTTATCTGGGGGTTTAAAGTTACACACATGTCATACTCTGCCGAACGCCAATTGCGATCGATGCTTAATCGCACCGGGAGGAGGGTCGGGAATTCCAGCTGTTTAGTGTGTGTGTGGGGGAAATAAAATCTTTCTTAGGGATAGTCTGGAAAGAGGTCTGGGCCAGAGAGGGGCTGAGGCCCAACCTGATCCGCTGCTGCTCTCCTTTCCCCTCCCCCTCTCTCTCCTTTTTTTTTTTTTTTTTTTTTCTGTTTTTTTTTTTTTTTCTCCCCCCTTTTTGTTTGATTTGTAGCCGGCATCTCCAGCGATCGCAGCATTTTAGGAGACAAAGAGCAGGTTTTTCTGAAGTGGCTTCGCTCGCTCTGTATTTCTAGCGGCGGCCGGGCCGTGCAGTGGTAGGTAGAAAGCCCCGAATATCTGGGATTCCTCCCGATGCTGGGTAGTTTCCGCTCTGCTCTCTTTCTTCCCCCCCCCCCCCCCCCCCCCCCCCCCCCCCGTGACAAAAGAAACCCAAGGCTTTTCCAAAAGCCAAGCTCTTGTTATTGTCAGCGCAGCCTTCCCGGTGTTTTGAGGGGTGAGGGTTAGAGCGGTCGGTCTCCTGCGGACAACAAACTTAGGAAGTTGGATGTGTCAGATGGCTCTCCTCACCACTCCTCCCTCCCCAGCCTTTTTTGTTTGTCTGCCTGACTTGCCTCGCCTGCCCGGGGTGAGCGCAGCTCGCTAGGCCCAGGCTCCCGAGACGCTTCCCTGGGGAATCTTCCTCTCTGGAAGCTGATCGGAAATAAGGGTCTGGCTCCAGACGTGGGAGTGAGGAGGCTCTTGGTGGTGACCAGAGGAGAAGGGGCTCGTCTGAAGGAATGCACTTGAAGGCTGCTCCTCCCTGGGCCTCGAGGGTTTTGTTGTTGTGTAGGGTTTTCTTTTTTTATTCCCCTTTTTTGCTGCCATTTTCATTACAGCTTCTCTTTTCAGCCCCTTTTCGTGTCTCCGATAGAGAATAATGGCATGGATTTATGGCCTGCCAAGGGCTACCTTTTTGAGTAGGGAGGGGGTGATGGCCAGAGTGAATAACACTGCTGCCTTCTCCTGCTCTGACAGGTTTAGGAGCCGAGTGGGGTCTTTTTATTATTCCTCTTTTCAATCGTAACACGTCCGTGTCCTTTTGTGGATGCCTCTTTGTGAGCAGGGAAGGGAAGAGGTTGCTCGGCTCTCTGGGGCTGGAGGGAGGGCAGAGCTCTGTGTGTGCGTGTTAATGTGTTGAACTGATGTTTAATAATCGCCCGGACGATTATGTGCTGAAACTCTGAGTCACTCATTGTTTCTCCCCTGATTGCGTTGTGCAAACGCTGGGGAAGGGCCTGCAGCGGGGAGCCACGCTGCCTTCCCTCTTGGGGGGTGGGGGCTGCTGCCCCCCCGCCCCCTCCACGCTCGCCCAAGTTTCCTGGGTGACCTGCATCCTTGCAGAGCGGGGAGCGCTACCTGCGAGCATGGCTTTGGAGGAAGGCTCCGTGTGCCCCCCCCTCCCCCCCCCCCCCCCCAAAAAAAAACACCTTGGGACCCGCTCGCTGGTGGCCTGGAAGCGCGGGGGTATCCCACGGGTCTGCCGGGAAGCGCTCAAGTTCAAGGCCAGGCCTCCCCAGCCTAGACACCCTTATTCTGGTGACTTTGGGGGGCTGGGGGGGGGGGGGGGGTAGGAAATCCCAATCATCAGCTTTGGGGCGAGCTGCCGGCCTTGGAGCCCTGTTTGCAGGCAAGAGGCCTCGGGCAGAGCTCGCAACTCCGCGGATTGGCTGCTCTGTTACTACCCGGAAACCGGGGCCGGGGCGGAGCGAGCCGGCAGCTGATGGGGTGCCCCAGCCACTGTGTTTACACCCATGGGGGGAAGCACCCTGGCACCCCACAGCCCCCCCACCCCGGACCGCGGGGCGGTTTGCCGCCAGCTGCGGCCGTTCCAAGCCGGGGTTTATTGTTCTACGCCGGGGGAGCAAAGCGGGTGCTCCAGGGTGAGCTGTCTGCAGCCTCCCCTTGGACGGGAGTTTATTTTGTGCTGATTTATTTTCCTCCTTTTGTGGATAGATGCTCCTGGCTGGGTTGTAGTCCCTGAGCTCTATTTTTGAGCATCGGAGCTGGAAAAGGGAAGTGTCACCCTGTTTTGTGCATGAAAGGAATTATAAATAGTGCCCAGCTTCATTTGAATCTCCCTGTTCTGACCAGTTTAAGGAGCTGAACGTTTGTAATGCGTGTCGGAGCTACCAGGGAGCGTAATACACGGAGCCTTGCGCTCCCTTCTAATTTTAGGCTTGTCCTGAGTCAAGGAGAATAAAGGTACAAAGCTCCTTAGTTTACCTGCGGAGTATTTTGTAATCGCAAAACTCCCCGTGTTTGCTCCGATGAGATCAGCTGAGGCAAAGGGTAGGACACAGTTTACATTTGGGATAAATTCCTTTTTATGTTCATTATAGGCTTACACCACACTTATCATCCTACTTGAACACCTTCCAAGAGTCGTGTTGAGCAATAGGACGGTCACGTGGCTTTGTTCTCTTTGGCCTGTCCCCAGGGGAAGAGCATGTGCGCTGGAATGTCTTGTTTTGGTAGGGTTTGGTGGTGTTTTGTTGTTTTTTTTTGTTTGTTTGTTTTTTGGTTTTGTTTTTTTTTTTTTTTTTTTTGTTGTTTTGGATTTTTTTTTTTTTTTTAAGAATAGACATTTCTGGAAACTTTTCTAAGTCAGAATGTAAATTTTAAAATGTCATGCTACACTTCTTTCTGCTCTACTTCTGGGGCTCCGTTTTAATGAGGTCTCCAGGGATAAGGATAATTGTGTGGTGGTACTTCAGAATGCACAAAGATGTGGCAAGGGCCCCATTTCAAAACTGGGAGAACCCCCCCCATCCCCAGAGCAGTCAGAAATGCTGGCACGGGTTGTGGCTTATAAATAAAATCCAGTTAAATGCAGCTCAGAATGTATAGTGCTACCTGTCGTTACGAGAACTTTTAAATCCACAGATCATTCTGCCAAAACCAAACCAACTAGAGGGGGGGGGAAAAAAAAAAAAGTAAATTGTCTTTGTTGCCAAAATGACAACTTTCAAGGGTATCATCTTGCTGCTTTTAGAGCTGAATGCGGCGTCTTTGCTGGTGGCTGGATTTTTTTCCCCGAAAGGATGGGCTCTTGGCTGGAACTGTAAGTTCACTCTTCCATTGTTGCCTTGTCAGTTTGATCGCGGAGGCTATTGAAGCTCGGGCTTGTCGAACAGACCTGAAAGCACAGTGCACCTGCTTAATCATATAATTGCGATGGTCATTGAGATGAAACTGTAGAATATGAATTCTGTTAAGACCGCTTGGAGGAGAGTGCCTGTTCTAGCTTGACATCTCAGCCCTATTTAAAATAAGAAAAATAAAGCCTTTGTATCGCTCTGCGTTTGGGTAATTTTAACTATTTCTCCATCTCATTCCCCACACTCAGAGCAGTGATTTTGGTATTCTGAATCGTACAGCAGTCGTCTTTAGGATTATGCTTATGGTACCCAGTTCTTAAGACTAAACTGGCATTAGATTACTAAATGCTGATTAAACAAATCGTGGAGGCTGTTTCTTTGTAGTAACAGTTTAAAAAGGAAAAAAGTGTGCACAGGATTTCAGTAAAAC